GAAGTATTGTATGTATTCGAATTGTGGAAACGGTTGAATTACTCTGGAAACTCTAAAGTGAATGGGATAAACTTGACTACTAAATGACCTAAGTACTCTCAATGACATAGAATTAAATGAATGAATTGGATAAGTCTGGAACCTTAATGAGCTTATATGTTATACATCCATAAGGGTTTTGAACCACGTAATAATCACGTCGACGTTTCAGAATACCAATGCAACACAGAAATGAAATAAATACCATTGGAATACATGTTTGTCTCCTTAAGAACCATTCAACGACGATCCTGATATTGATCAGTTCAACTAGTGGATTCAGTGTTAAGAATCAAATAATAGTGAAGTATCACGGTACAAATGATTGACAAGTATCATAGTATTGAGACTTGTAGCTTATATAGGACTTGAAATCCTGATAATTCAAAATTATTAAATCTTGAAATTTCAAATAACTCTGAACAGATATATATATCAAATTACCAGAAAAGATACATAGGCTTGGATTGAAAAGAAATTACCGAAATACCGTCGAGATGTGGAATGTTAAAGTAAATATGATATACAAATGACTAAAATACCTATAAAATCCCAAAAAAGGTAAAATACTTGGAGCTTCAAGGTAACTGTAGTAAATCTCAAGTACGGAAATGATCCAAATACCTTCATGACTAAGAAATAAGTGAACGTTATTGGATAAATTCTAGAAATACTGAAAAAAACCTAAGTATGGTGTTGCCCATAAAAGGTTGGGAAGTACGACTCAAGTACGTTGATCATCTTGGAGACTGTTGCAATTCATAAGTTGAACTAATACTATCGGAATAAGTAGAGTTCCTTAAGATCCATTCAACGATGATTCTAAAGATGATCAATGTGATAAGAGTTGTTTGCATTGAAAAGTGAATACCCTGGAAGTTTAACGATTTGACCAGTCGACAGGCATCAATGCTGGGAGTTGTCAGTTCGAGTTAACTCGATATCCTGACAAATTGACATGAATCTTAAATGTCATGAATCATCGTTACTCCCTTATTGGATTAAATTACTAATAACTCTTTAAGGATCAAATGTCTAAAATGCCTCTGATTTACCAAAATAATAAGAATACACATGTTATGTCTAAACCTTCAATAATTCTTATATAAAGATTCTGAATACCTTTTGATTGCATAGTACCTCTGAAAAATATTCGAATAGTTTATGATCTTAATAAATCACGTTTTGAATAACTGATGAATTTGTCAGCTATTAAACCCTATTATGAGAATCTAATTTCTGAATTTAAATTAGTTTACAGAAGTTCATAACTCCCTATCTAATAAATATCAATCACCTCCGAATAATATATGGAACCTCTAGTGTATTCTCTGATCACATAGATGTTTTCTCTGATTTTTGTTATGATCTATGCTCTGATTTCTGATATCTTTGGATTCTGACTAAGAAATGATCGTCCAGCTCAGTTGGTAGAGCACAAGGCTCTTAACCTTGGGGTCGTGGGATCGAGTCCTACGGAGGTCTCCCACGGAAGCTGCTCTCAACCTGGCGTTGGGGGTAGCCTACTATCTTATCTCCCCCTTACCCCATTATATATGGGAATAAGGGTCAGCTAATTTTTTGGATTCTGACTAAAAATGTTTTTAATTGGGGTACTCTGAGATATGGTATGAAGACTCTAGCAGGTTCAATCACTGTTGGTAATTCCTTTTATAGGTTTAACACCAACTGATAATTCCTTATGGACCTAAGGCAGCAATTGGGTAGGCTCTGCGGCCCCAAGAATCTTTCTTGGGTAGGCTCTCAGGCCCCAAGGTGCTCCATTAGGCTATATAGTTCTGGGGAGCTGCATATGGCATTCGATTGGAGGTATTACTATGGTTTTTGAAAAATATGTTTTAAACTGCTACTGTTTTAAAAATGATCTGTACATTTTCACTGGTTTTGTGGGAACACACTAGATACCTGATTCTGATCTCCTGAACCCAGTTATCTAAAACATTTCCTCTGAACCGATAACTCACTGTCTTTCACTATCTGTGATATCAGCGGGACCTCAGTTCAGCATAAAAGTTTGTAGATGTCTGAATCTTTAAGGAAACATATGTTTATTTGTTATCTGCATGTTCATCAGCATCAACTGGTAGTACTGTATTACTAACATTTCCAAAGCTCACTTGTTACTCACCTTTCCATGTTTAAAAGATTGGACCAGTGCAACTATTGACATCAATATGGGAGTTCCACCAGCGTTGCTTGCAGAGTATTGTGCATGTGATTAGGGGGCATGTAGGTTTTAGTTTGTTTTTATATCCGAGTCTGGAACCTGTTTATTTCTGAATATTGATAAATTTTACTTTTATATTTATAAATTATTTTATGATGTTTACATGTTTTAACAAAAAAAATATTTTTTCCGGAATTTTTACGGTGGGTCGCTCCGGTAACCTTAATGTGACATCTCAAATCGGATCGGATTACCCGCATCGGTATGTGGGTGTTACATATATGCTTGGAGTGGGGGCTAGGTTAGTGTTTGATGGGAGGGTAGGGTTTCACTAATACATGACTGCTTCCAACCGAATTTCAGCAACTCATAAATAATCTGAAAGCCCCAATTACGACAGAGAAAGGTACAGCAGCTACACCTTATGATTTCGGGGCAGGAGAAGTAAGCCGGACAGGGCCATTGGAACCAGGCCTAGTTTACGAGACTACTGCTGTTGACTACTTGAATTTCCTCTGCTACCACGGTTATAATATAACTACAATAAAAAATATCGCCAAAACTATTCCCGATGGCTTTACTTGCCCTGAGGAGTCGAGCATTGATCTTGTATCCAACATCAATTATCCATCAATAGCAATTTCCAATTTCAATGAAAATTTGGGCAGGAAAGTAAACAGAACTCTTACAAATGTTGTCGGCGATGGTAAATCAGTGTATACTGTAAGTATTGACGCACCTGCAGACCTGGATGCTCAAGTGATCCCAGACAAACTTCAATTCACTAAAAATGGAGACAAGTCATCTTACCAAGTGAGCATCTCAGCCACAAATCACTAAAGAAAGATGCATTTGGATCCATAACATGGTCGAATGGAAAATACAAAGTCAGAAGTCCATTTGCTGTAAGCAGTAAAAGCAATTGAGTAGGGGCTAATATCCTTAATAAGCACTAGAGCAATGTGTTCAAAATCTATAAAGAAAGACAGCAGGATCCCCACGTAGGCCATTCCACTATAATAAATATGACTTTAACTCTCATTTACCCTGGTTTTAGCAAAATCTTCTATGTTTACCCTACATGTTTCACATCAACGCATGCAAAATCGCACCAAAAAAAGACAATATTTAATTAAAAACAACATTTATTAACACATTAGAAACAGTTAAAATAGTAAATACAGACTGAGATACAACCCGGTGTTCTCAAACACATCCAAAAGTAAAATGGAAAATGAAAAAAAAAAAAAAACTACGTTCAGGTCAATTAAGATCCTTTACTCAAACGCCCATTGATTCTCGCGACGAACCTCTTCTTCCTCCGGAGTAAAATCATTCTTAATATTAAATGTCTTACGGACTTCCTCCGGCGTTTTCCCTTTATCATTCTTAATATTAAATGTCTTACGGATTTCCTCCGGCGTTTCCCCTTTATCATGTCCGCCACAGTTTGACAAGTCAGGTCCAACAAGCTCTTGGTGTTCAAATAATTAGCAGCCTCCAACAAAGAAAAGAGCTTTAAATATACAATAAATTAGACTCTAAATCCCAAAAGACAAGTGGTGGAAAGAGAGGGCTTTACCAGGATGAGATCAAATAGGGTGGTTTGATCAACCTTGACGAAATCAGCATCCCAGGCTTCAAGCTCACCTTCGTGGGAGGCTGAAGGATCCTCGGATTCAGATGCTTCGACATGTTTCTTGCAATACTCGATTACTTTAGAGAGGATCTTGCTGGTGACGTTGGGTAAAGGGATGACATTAGGGCATTATCAGCGCAATAGTCCTCAAGCATGTGCCTGATCATTTGTGATTCCAAAGCCACCGCCTCGTCCACCTAGAAGTTCTCGCTGTCTGAGCTCTTCAGTATGATTTTCCGACCCGTAGATGACATGACGACGGATCCAAATGGGAAATTCTCAGAATCCTAATCTACAGAGGAATTAGAAAAAGGGAGAAACTAGAGACTGGTCCGATACTATACAAAAATAGGCCTAACTATGTAAATACACCTATTTTATGGGGAAACTACATAAATGGTCACTTATGTCTGAATACATTTTTCTTTTAACAACTAACATTCCAAAACTAACGATTTAATCACTATATTATCGATTTATAAAAAATCGGTCAATCAACGTTAACCGTCGTTACTAATTTAAAATTATATTATTAAAATTAAAATTATATTCGCAATTTCCAAAAATTGAGATAATATATAATTTCTAATGTACTAATTTTGGATGTTACGAGAGTATCTTGACCTTCTCCGTGCATAATTAAATCTCAAACTCACTTTTTTTACACTGTATTGAGATACAAACTTCCAGAATTATTTGTTTTAAAAAATAAATTTAAAAAAATATTAAAAAAATAGATTTTTATGTGACCGATCACAAATAATATATTTAATATTAAAAAATATTAAATATATGAAAGAGCAGTTTTTCTTATGAGGATAAAACAAGATAAATTGAAAAACATACAGCGCTTTGATCACTTTTTCATCCGAGATTTGGTTCATTTGAAGAGATCATTGACTTAACCAAGACGCCGTAAGCCTTCTCCGTGGGATGATAACTGTCCCAAAAGATGTGCTCATCCACATCCGTACATATAAGTTTAAAAGGAGAAGAAGCTCTTTTAACTGTTTTGATATGGAGGATAAACATATAAGTTTTTATGAAGGTGTATACCTTATTTTCCAGAAAGAAAAAATCTTAACAATGCAACCGCAGTTCCTATAGTTTGTCATACACATATTAGCCTCCTCGTTTACGAAGGGCCTTACGGAATTCGCTGAGGGAGCCTAAACCGGACCTGAGAAGCAGGGGACCGAGCAGCCACCCCGTGCCAGCATATGCCACCCTTGCACATCTCCTGCACTTCAAAATCACGTTCACCGCCGGATATAGCTTTCTTGGCTTTACGACTGACGTCCCACGCCAGAGCCCCGACAATGATCAGACCCACCACCGTGCTCGACGCTATCAGCAGGAACCCACCACCGAAGCTCCTCCCGAACACTAAACTATACGCCTTTATCCCTGCTATCACCGCCACGTATATCATCATCAGATTCCCAATCACCGCATCACATATGGCCATATCCTCCACCCCCCACGATTCACAACTAAGGGAAGAGACGGCTAAGGTAATGAAGAGAACAAGAATCTAGTCGAAGAAGAATGGATCTTTCGAACGAGTTAAACGAGTTGTCCCGGGTCTTAAAATAAATAATTTTAAAATATTTATACTAGTAAACCCGGCGATTTTCCCCCCGATAAAGTAGTGCCACGTTTCTACTTTATGCTTTTTGATATAGTATATGTAATATGACTAAGCCGTCGGTGTTGGGAACAATTTGTTTCGTATTTGCGTTTCTGAATTTCTTTCTTTCTTTTTTGTAGTTTTCAAAGTGTGTTACATGCTCGTGAGGAAAGGGCAGTTGGCCATTTTTCAATACATCATGAGGAAAACGTAGTAGGCAAGTAGGCTCTGTTTTGAAAACCGGACCGGACAGGCCGGTTCAACCGGGAACCGTTGTCTAGTCCGATTTAATATAAATCGGTTGAACCGCTATTAGTGAACTGGCCAGAACTGCTGAACCGTTCGAACCGGACCGGCTGAAAACAGGAAAAAACCGGAAATTTTGTTTTTTTAAAAAAAAATTAAACCAAACGTCGTTTGTTAAACGAGCCAAGTCGAACTCGAGTATTGTTGAGCTCGACTCGAACTTGAAAACTTTAAAAGTAAGCTCAACTCCACTCAAACTCACAAGTTAAAAATTATCAAGTTCAACTCGAACTCGAAATATAATATTGAAACTTGAACTCAAAAAGGCTTGAACCAAAAAAAATTTTAAAAGCTCAATTGAAGCCTAAAATTCGAGTTTGATTGAAGTGAAAGAATAGTTCACTCAATGCTCACCAAAAGGCTCCATGATTTTGAATGCCAAATTACCTCTATTATTTATAGAAGTTAGTTGTGATGCTCTTCTATGTTTCTTAGCAATGTGAGATTTTTTGTTCTCATATTTTTACTCTTTAGATTTTTGGGATGCTCTTCTATGGTTCTTAGCCATGTGGGATTGATTTAAAAAAAAATTAAACCAAACAATATCATTTTGTTATGATTTTTTTAGCCCCAAATTTATTTTTTAATTATAGTTATATAATTATATTTATTATTTAATATGTTTTACCTTAAATATTATATTGTAGTTAATTTGAATCATTTTGTTTCACTTGATTTTATGGTTTTTAATTTATATATGTTATGACTTGCTTTAAATATGACTTGTGATATAAAAAATTATTTTTTATTAAATATTTTCAGTATTTTTTATTTAATTTTTTAAATAATTATGACGTCGTCCGGTTCTTTCGACCGGTTCGATCGGTTGAACCAGTAAACCGATAGTATGACCGGTTCGCTAACCGGTCCGGTTCTGAAAACCATGCAAATAGGTCATCCTCATGGAGGGCGTGATAGAGCCACGTTGTGTTGGTGTTGAAGTTTAAGTGCTCTCAAATCGCATTCATATTTCATTAAAATTTTCTCCTTCAAGAAGACGTGGATTTATTGTATCGACTTTAGTACAAGGATTCATATGAAATTTCATTAACCGAAGCTTTTAGTTATACCACGGTATGGATCATGTTATATATTATTAACACAAACTCTAATATAGAGTTAAATTGAATTTAATTATAATTTTAATGGTTGAAAATGATTTTATAATTGAGTTATTTAATAAGTAAATACTTATTTTAGACAAAATTTTACGAAATTAGTTCTTCTCGTTATCAAATATTTGATTTTATAAATAGGGAGCATGAAAAGTATAAGAGAATTGTTTTAGGATTTAAGTTTGCAGACATAATACATATAATTCAATCAAAGTGCATAAATAAGAGGCGTGCATGTTAACAAGGAAGAAATGCTTGTCATCATTTAGAGATTGAAAATAAGTAAAACAAGAAACAAACCAATTGAAATCGTTCACAGAATGTCAGCAGAGACTATACATGACGGTTTGTTGCTTACTAGAATTTAAAAACTTGCCACGGAAAGGGATTAAGAGCAGCAAGAAGCTGGCAGGTCGATCCGTCTTTATCGGGCTCCAATCTTCCACTGATCACAATACCGAGCAAACGCCGCCGCCATTCGACTTTTGCTTGTTTTTCGGAGGCTGAAGCACTACCTTGATAGCCGCATCAAACACTGCCTTCACATTCTGAAGTATACATGCCAACAAGCAAGACAAAAGCGTCTTCGATAATATATTTCTGCTAAGTTTACATGAATAACATGTTGAGAAATTTACCTGCTGGGTTTTTGAACTACACTCGATGTAGTAAGAAGACCCTATCTGTTTCTTTAACTCCTCTCCCTTCACAAATAAACAAAGCAAAGGCTATGTTGAACATGCATGAAACATATTATCGTTGAACAGAACATAACATAATATGTTCAACATTTACCTGAGCTGTAGTAATTGGTATTGCATTAGGATGGTCATTGAGGAATTGCTCATCCTCCCGGAGATCTGCAGCAGCAAGGAGTCATAAACACCACAACATTTAATGAAATGGAAAGAATTTAAGAAACTCTGTTAGACCATTAGCGAATCAAACCAATTATAATCCGGAAATACAAAGATTTAAAACACGCATAACGGTACCGCCATCGAGGGAGCAAGAAACATCTTACCGATCTTAGTTCCAACAAGGACGATTGGAACGCCAGGTGCATAATGCTTTAATTCAGGAATCCACTGAAACCCCAAGCAAGAAAACACATGATCACAGCATGGATACTGTGTTATCGACATCTTATGCTGCAAAATATTATGATCACAAAGGGAAGAAATCGAATGATTAAACCTTCTTCGCAACGTTTTCGTAACTAGCCTTGCTGATGAGAGAAAATGCAAGAATAAAGACATCGGCACCACGATAGCTCAATGGTCTCAGTCTATTGTAATCCTCCTGACCTGTTCCAAGGCAATGATTTCAAACCATAAGCAAGAAAGAAACACAACTCACCAAAAAAGGAGAGATTCTAAAAGTTGTTTGAAAATTACCAGCAGTATCCCATAAGCCTATGTTGACAATGCTGCCATCAACGACGATATTCGCACTGAAATTGTCGAAAACAGTCGGGACATAGTCCTGGTACCATAAGAGTTTCCAACGCAAAAAGTAAGTAAAAAAGGAAAACCAGTGTCCAAGACAACCTAACCACCAACACAGAGCATAAAGCTCCGTTCTTGGTTCATTGGACATGAATTCCTACATGGAATGAAAAAAACAATGGAGCAATTTCAAAGTTGATGAAATATTATATAACTCGAACATCAATTTCAACCAATTCTTCGCCGATTTATAAAGAAATCTAGAAAAAACCGATAACACGTACTACGATCATGCAAGAAAGACCCGACCATTGAGGGAGAAAAGGAAAAGAGAGGGAAAAAGGTTCACCGTAGGGAAAGTGTTGCTGGTGTAGGAAATCAGCAAGCACGTCTTGCCAACGGCACCGTCGCCGACGGTGACGCACTTAATGAATTTCGACGCGCCCATTTTTTTTTCTTTCTTTCACGATATATCTAATCGCCTACAGCTTTATTCTTCTCCAAATCTTGAAATTCGTGTGTTTCCCCCTACAATCTGGTGATCTTCTTTCTTAGATTTGCTTCACGCTCAATTAGTTGTTAAAGAGAGAATGAGATCCAAAGGCTTCATCGCTTTGTCTTCGCGAAGCAAATCCTAATGGGGAAAGATTGATTGGAAAGTGCGCAGTGAGTGAACAAAGAGAAAATGGAGTGAGGGAGAGAAAAAAGAATGGCGAAAATGGGGAAGATGAGAGCGAAAAGGGGCGCGAATTACAAATGCCTATAACAAACTCTTGCCACCTAACCTCTCCATAACAACTCCTTTTCATCATCTACCACATAAATTCATTCATGATTTATTTAAATTTGAATAAAGCTTTCTTTGCTTAAAAAAAATAAAAGTTGGATTTTTAAATTTGAATTCGAATACGACTTTTTCTTTTTCATTTCAAATCAAGCAGCCCGCTTTTCTGTGTATAATTTGAATTCACTATATTTCAAATGAAATCATAAATGCTGTTTTTAATCATTGTGAAGTTTCAACATACAGTAATATAATTTGAATGTAGTTTATCTTGGAACACAACGGATTCATGTATAAAATTTTAATGCTAAGACATGGTTTATTATCTCCTCCACTGCTGCAAATTGACCAAGTGTTTATAGACACTGTCAGCTTTGCTCGTTAGCTGTTCATGGCTGCCCATTTCAACCACATTTCCTTGTTCCATCACGTTGATGCTGTCGGAATTACGAATCGTCCATAACCTGTGCGCAACGACAATTGTGGCACGGCCTTCCATGAGGTTATCCAGAGCCTCTTGAACTAGTTTCTCAGATTCCGTGTCCAATGCACTAGTGGCACTGGCATGGAAGGGTTCTTCAGGATTGCTCCAGAAATCGCCACTCTCTGCTTTTGGCCTCCCGATAACTGGACTCCTCGATTGTATGTCCTTCAGGTATTCGGCTGATGAATCGATGAGCATTGGCTGATCTTGCTTCTCTTAGTATCTCTATCTCTGATTCACCCTTCTTCCCATACTTGATGTTTTCGTATATTGTAGTGGAGAACAATGCTGGCTTCTGTTGAACTAAACTCATTCTCAGTCTTAGAGACCTCAGGTTTAATGTCGTAACATCATAACCATCAATCAGCACTGCCCCGGAAACAGGATCACGCATAATTAGTGCGATCAAAGTGCTTTTCCCTGATCTTTGTCTAACTACGGCTAGACTCTTTCCAGCTGAAGTTTTCAGGTTTAAGTCCTCAAAAATGGTTACATCATGTCGCATTGGGTACTTGAAACTAACATTTCTGAACTCTATGTCCTTTGATCTCGGTTACGACATCCGACGCGGAATTATTAGGTTCTATGATGTCTTCCTGTAGAGAGTCCCGAAAACGGACCCTAGTGCTTGCTACCCGTTCACGATATCTGGTGTTTCTGCCACGACCAGTGTTGTGATTATCAAAACCATAAAGGACTTCATGATGTCTCCGAAGTTAGATTTGTTTTGCTTGATTAGCATTGATTCATACAAAGTCCAAGGGCGTAGGAACAGAACGCAAAGAGCTGAGATACACCATATCCGAACTCTGAATATGACCCATAAGAACTGCTTGTTTATTTAGTTGGTTTAGTTCTGAATCAAACTTGATCAATATCCGTCTTTGACACCAAATGCAGCCACATTTCGAATGTTAACAAGCTCTTCTCGTGCCACAGAAGTTGCTCTGGAGTATGTATGGCTGTAACTCCCTCCGAATCCCTTAAGAAACAGTTGCTGCAGTTTCAAAAGGAAAAAGTACAAAAACTCGAATAGAAGGCCTTCAGTATCATTTATAATTGAAGTAATCAAAATAAGTGGTCTTTAGACCTTACCTCAGTTATGGAAGCACCTATGAGTAAGGGAAAGGAGGCGATGATAACGACTGCTATACACCAGCTTAACTAAAGGCAATTACAGATGCTGTCACGGTAAGTGCTGCATTCTGCACGATTGTGGATAGCCGATCAGCCAGAGCGCTTCGTACAAGGGTTGTATTGGCAGCTAGAGCGGCTGTCAGCGAACCAGTATTGTTCGCATCCAAATAAAACCAGCCAAACTCATTGGAAAGGATAGCTAAATATAAAGAAATAATATGAACGTTAATTTACATTGCAGTGTCAGATTAAAACTTCGTAGTTATGAAGCTTTCCGATTTGAAGAATGTTCCATCAATGGAAAAAAAGATCGGATTCAGCATATATATTGGAAAGATAAGAATAGCCAGACCAACAAAGATAAGAGATGCCCTTTCGATCTCTCTTAATTGGAGGATCATCAGGAGAGTAGAATGAAATCAAGACGTGTGATTCCGAAGGTAAATAGTGGAGCTTCCATGCCTGCCAGAGTTGCACCGACCGTGCCAAGTAGCGCATAGGGCAATTCTGGTGCATCTACTTTAAGTAGTTCCCATAGTAGAGGATTCTGTGTGGAATGTTGTCGAGACGAGTTTTGATACTTTGCTCCAATCCCATTGGTGGAATTGACCTTGAATCGTGCCCAGGATTTTGACTGTCTTCAGTGTGATTAAAGGCAGCAGAATTGATTTCGTTAGTGATAGGACTGTTCAAATCGGTGGATAAAAGGTACCATATCCATCATAGTATTGAAAAGTCTGAAACTAAAGAGCTCGAAAGAGAAGAATCTCTGTCAAAAGCCACGAATGCTGCATGACTGGGGACTGGCCTTGGAAAGCAATATCCCCTTCTTTGCGGCTTAAACATATTTGGGTGTGCAAAATTCTCCCCCTTTTTTTTGGCTACAATGACGGGATTTGTTATTGGACCACTCCACCCTTTCAACCATGGAAAAATTGGAAAGAAAAAACAGCGCAGACAATTAGGGAAGAAGAGAATCTGAAAGGTCCACTACGCAAGTTTCCCAATCTATCAACACTACCACCGTAACCCCACTGGAGAAGGAATCTTAAACTTTCTATCTCTACCTACTGTTGAAGTGGCATAAAAGTGGAGATATGGTGCATGCTTTATATACTAATTTATTACTTTTTGTGTGTTAATTAGTAGGGTAATATTTTGTTACTACCAAATCACAGAGAACCAAAAGATAAAAAAATAATAACACTAGTTGTAGATTTGTTTTCTACAGGAAAATTGACCTCTACTATGTGGACCCCAAAGCAGTTATTTATAAACAAAATGTATAGATGAGAGGAAGAGAAAGGAAATGGCCGAAGACAACGTGTTGAGGGAAACTGCGCCAGAAAAAGTCCTGGAAGACTGTCCTGTAAGAAAATTTGGAAACCAAATCACGTTTTCTGGCCCTGTTGCTGATCCATATATTCCATATATGGGCCTTGTCGTCCCTCCTGTTGTTGTTGTTGTTGGGGTCGTATTGCTCGCAAATTTTACTGTGCAAATAGAATTTTACAGCACCATAAATTTGAGTCGAAATAATAATAATACAAAAAGCATAAAGAGAACGAATCGGATCATGATTAATTTGTATATCTATAGTGCTTACCTTGTTGATGAAGGGCGGCATGTAATCGTATAATCAGCTACCGTACATGTAAACGTACTCGTAGCATCATCATACGCGTAGCTATACTATTTCGGGCAAGCCGCTTTGAACATCTCCGAGTAAACAGAAGGCTTGCACGTGTCGGGTGTGGCATACGCGCCGCTGCAGCAATACTCCGGCTTCCCAAAAGCCTCGCACGCACCCTTACAGGCCTCGCCCGACCCGATCGTCAACTCAGTCGGGCACTGCCGGTTCAAGTCATTAGCGCAGCCCGTTGACAAGAACGGCCCTGACCCACTGCTCGGCTCCGCCATCATCGCCAAGTTATATCCATCAACTAATAGAGGTGTTCATTTGGTTAAAATCAAACCGAACCGAAATACTCTTAACCGGATTTTTTTCTTTAACCGTTAATTGAACCCAATTTTTTTATGAAAGTATTAATCGAACTGAATAAATTTAGGTTAATTCGGTTAATTTTTGAATTAACCGATTTTTTTTAAAATTTTAGAATTTAATATTTTTTAATTAAAAAAACAGTTTTCAATATCTAATTAATTTAATTCAAACATTATATTAAAATAATATATTTATATATATCAATTTAGTTAAAAAAAACCAACAATACTGCAGTTCAAACATTACAATACTGCATGTTTCGGGTCAAGCGAATCATGGTTATGGTTCCCGTTATGAATGCCATGATTCCTCGAAAACCTGGTTGCTCATTCTTTTATTAACCTTCCCATTACCATTGGAAATGGCAAAGCTTTCTTCTGCCTTTGGTTTAGGCCATGAAGGATCCATGTTCTTGCCAAGCACTGGAATGACATTGTCATGGGCAAGGGAATCCAGGTACGTAGTTTTTATCGATGAGAGACTGCAATATACAAAGAAGACAGAGATCTACATAAGCGAACATGAAACGAGAAAACCAAAATACGAAGTGTTCAATTAGTTCCCATTCTTGACTTCGGCATGATAATGAGTGAAACTTACTTCAGCAACATGATATAAAGGAGTATTCTCTGCAAGCCGTTCAGCTGTCCCTGTAACTGATTTTTCAGCATTGAAGGAATCACTGTCTTCGTTTTCACAACATGGAAGAGAAAAAAACTGGTTAGGCATTCAATTTGTAGTTGCATGATACAAGTTAGGTCTAGGATAATTTGTGAATGTTGAGAATGGAAAAGCCTTTTTTCTTCTAGTAGTGAATACCTGTAGGCATGCTTTGTCCTCAACACGTGATGTATTTCTCCTTGTGCACATGGCCTCACCGTTTTGAACCCTCTGCTCATGTAAATGAAAGTACTCCATTTTATTATACCAATTATCATGCTGAACAGTTTTATGCCCATGCTCCACTACACTTTTGCCCATGCCTTACACAAATCAAGGCACAACAAAATTGAACCAAAGCACATGGGGGTAGCATATTTTGGCCATAGGATGAAAAAAATATTAAAAAATATTTAAGGATTAATTCGGTTAATTTGGTTAATTAATCGAGTTCAAACCGAATTAACATTTAACCGAATATCCAAAAAATCATTAACCGTTAACCGATCGAACTAATTCGGTAGTCGATCGAATTAATCGAACTAATTCGGTTCGGTTAGTTAACCGAATTAGTTCGAAAATTTGAACACCCCTATCAACTAAGCTAACGTCGTAAAAATCCTGGGTACCCGACTCGATCGTGAACTCAGCTAAGGTG